ATTCAAGACATCGAAAATATTCTAAGTGCCAAGGAATACATTAGCATATCGATGACATCACTTCCGGTCTTGACGGGTTGACACAACCCGACAACTTTTTTGAGGGTGCCCTGTAATCAAGACATCGAAAATATTCTAAGTGCCATGTAACACATAAGCATATAAGTGACATCACTTCCGGTTTTAAAAGTCTTCTAAACAGGGCACCCTCAAAAAGTCGTCGGGTTGTGTCAACCCGATCAAGTTGACCAGCCCGTCACTTCCACCCTCCTAATTTTTTTTTTTTTTCAAATTATTTCAAATGACGTCGCTTCCGGTTTTGTCGGATTGACACAACCCGACGACTTTTTGAAGGTGTCCTGTTAAAAAAACGTCGAAAATATTCTAAGTGGCATGAAATACATTAGCATTATTTATAACCACCGATGGACATGAGTAATAAATGTAACCTGGGGTGGGGAGGTTTCAAAGAAAACTGCTTAAATAGCGACATGGTCAACCCGTTAAATACATTTGTCAACCCGTGTCATGTCGGAGTGTGTCAACCCGTCAAGACCGGAAGTGATGTCATCAATATGCTAATGTATTCCTTGGCACTTAGAATATTTTCGATGTCTTGAATCATAGTTAATAGAGGGCACCCTCAAAAAAGTCGTCGGGTTGTGTCAACCCGTCAAAAGTACCGAAAATGCCTTAAGGTTTCCGTGAAGTTCAAGAAATGTCGTTTGTCGTTTTTTAGACTCGCGTTGTTTACACCGGCTTTCGTCTTGAACGGCTATGTCGATTCTTTTCGGCTTGAAAAAACTGTTGAAAAATTGATTAAACTTCTTTATATGAGCTAAGAACAAAGATGAAACACATGTGTACGTAAATATCGTACTTTCAGCAAAGGTTGAGGCTTTTTTGGTGACTTTTAAGGCCGTTTTTGGTCAGAACGCTCTCAGTGTTTGAGCGAGAGGCTCGCTTGAATCGGTATCGATTGAAATTATAGATCTTGAAAAATGCCAAATTGTTTTTTTTTTGTGTGTGTGTTTTGATACTGTGATCAAAACACGCGGGACGTACGGAGAAAAATAACATTACAGACCTATAAGTGTAAGAAATAATTATATTTTCAATCGTAAGAGAACATTTTGCGACGAACGCCACAATGTTTACGTTTTGCTCGATTGATTTCGTCGCTAATCTCGGCCTCTAATTGGCTGAAACATAACGGTTAATTGTCAAACAAATCCTGGTTGCTTGTTATTAGTGACAATGTCCTTTTAGAGATACACTAAAGCAGGGATCCGAGACAGGGAAATGATAATTTTGTGGTTGATAATTTTGTTGTAYAACTGAAGTTTATGAAGTTGAGAAACTCTTAGCTTCCTAATAGTTAAGGTACAAAATTGTATTTTGAGCCTGTAAGATACAAATGGTCTATTAATTTATTTTTCGGGGTCAAAATTTACAATGATCCATAGCCCAGTAAAAAAGTGATGAGGAAGGGTACATGTATGTCCTACAACCTCTGATACATTAAGTGATTGGATATGATTATTTCGACGGTTGCTTTGTTGCGCTTTTACTATTATGTGACGTCAACTAAACAGTTATTTAGTTTTTCTAGTTTATTTTAGTTTTTAACGAAGTTTTTCACAGTTTGACTAAAAGCACTCTAATTCCTTTAATTACTTATTTTTAAAAAATTCAAATCTGAATTTGAATAATACACTATGTTCAGATTTTTAGATTCATATCTAATTGACTATCTGATAGATACGGGACTTGAAAGAATCTTCAAAAAGGTTAACTTTGCCGTCAGGTTTTTGTGAGGAAATGGAAGTTTAGGTTACTTGGATGAAATTAAAGCTAAATTTTTAACACTGATATAACAAAGAATGCAATTTTATTGTCTATTCTTCTTGTTTAAAACATTGATAATCATATAATCGTTCTTTCGCGCGCCGTCAAAATAATGTTTTGGGTGTTTAAAACGGGAAATATTCGTACGACTCATTATTACTGTTTTGGGTGTTTTGAGAAC